AAAACGTACAGACCAAGGAAGTACATAAAAATTTATGTTTATTCTTCTTGGGAAACAGTCTAATATTCTCATGATTTTCTCAATTTCAAAAGAGGCAATCCCTTCCCTACCTGCAAATTTAAGAGACACTGGTCTAAAGTCAAACTTGTGCATTCTTTAGCAAAATGCCTACTATGTCACTGTGCACTAAGCATACAAAGGGAAATGACTCAGACAGGATGCCTTTCCCTGCCACTTGCCCTCAAAGAGCTCATAGTTTGGTGGGGGAGACTGACAAGCAACCAGTTAAACACTCTGGGTTGTGTGTGTTTTGGGCTTTCAAACTTAAAGCTCAGGAGAAAATTCTGGACCTAATTATAGCAACCACCATTTAAAAAGCTTAGTGTCTCATTTGCTTTCTTGCGCTTTCAAGTCCATGAAGCCATGCCTCTTATAGAATACCACTTGGCACCTGCCTTTAATTTTTACAAATTCATTTATAAAAATGAATTCCTTGTTTAAGGTAGTACTCTGAATAACAAACACAATCCTAGGGCTGGAGGCCTATATACCAGAAACCTATTATTGAAAAGTCTAGCATTCAATATAAAATATAACATAGTAACACAGGACCATGATGAGATGAAAAATACATCAAAAGCTAGTGTAAAAATATAAGGATCAAAGAATGTGATTTATATTATGAATAAGAAAATCAATGTAGGAAAACAACAAAGATACAGAAGAAAAAACCATGAAGGTAATTTTATGCAGTTAGGATTTTATAAGCAGGTTATTTTGGTATAAAAGTGCATTCTTGGATTCTGAGGAGTATAAGACAGATGCTTTCTCTAACAGAGCCAAAAATACGAAGTTACAAGCCTCAATTCCAGTTAACCTTGAAATTTATAGTTTCAATTTCTTTAGGAGTTAGGATAATTAATCAGAACCACTGGGAAGTTTTTAATATGAAAATTATATCTGGTCAAACACTTCCTATTTATTGACCAGTATGCATGATATTCTTCAAAACATACTGTTAGAAAACAAGTGATAAATTGGCAAGACAAACAGGAATCACACTAACACAATTTCCTGAAGAGGGCACTCTGTTTTTTTGAGACAGGGTCTCACTCTTCTGTGGAATCACACATAGCTCACTGCAGCCTTGACTCGGGCAATCCTCCCACCTCAGCCTCCTGAGTACCTGTAATCACAGGTGTGCGCCACCACTCCCGGATTATTTTTGTTTTAAATGTTGCCCAGGCTGGTCTTGAATTCTTGGGTTCAAATAATCCTCCCACCTCAGTCTCCCAAAGTGCTAGGATTACAGGTGTGAACCACCACACCTGGCCAGGGTATGTGTTTTAAAGAACAAACTGATAAGCAGAATCTTAAACCAAATTTTTTTCACCATGTAATTCTAAATAATTTTTTTCCCTATCAGAAATTACTACTCAGAAGAGGGAACCTCTTCATATCGCAACTCTTTTACAGGATATGTGAACTGAACTTTTCTAACAGACAACACATAAAAAAGTTAAAAGCATGGTCTCTGAGTGAGACTCTGGGTAAGTTGTTTAACTTTTTTGTGTTGAGGGTTCTTTTGCTGTAAAATAGGAGAAACCTGTTAAAATATTAATTTGTTTTAATATTTTCAAGTGCTAATAGCTAATCTGGAATAGAAAGTGTTATCCATCATAAGGGTAGCCTATCATTTTTGTGGTTATTGCCTCAGAAATGGGTTGTTCTTCCATGCTTTACAGAAATCTAATATCGGCACCCCAATACTTCTGATTTCCCTTCTCCACTCATTTTTTAAAAACACATATCGCCAACACACTACACATTTCATTTAGTTGTCTTGTGAACTGTCTGTCTCCCCCAAGTGAACACATGAAAATTAGGCAGAGATGTTTGTTTTATTCACGGATGTACATCCAGGGCCTAGAAAAATGCCTACTGAGTGGCAGATAATAAATACGACAAAATTTCAGCAATTCTAAGATGCACACATTCTTACATTTTATTAAAATCTCTAACACTGTGATGATTTAATTATACACCTACAACTGCCAGCCCTCTACCACCTCTTTTAGTGGAAGTATATAAAACAGGACAATCAATATCCCAAGTCTTATGAAAGACAGTATATGTCAATGAATGAATCAGTAAATGAATGAACTAAAGGGACAGGTAGGACAACATCAGTTTTACCTAATTGAAATTTATGTACTGTACTTGAAGAATCATTTTAATTCTCACTTTCCCTATCTATAAACAGGTTATTCTAACAAAAGAGTACTTGCTGTCTAGTTCATTTCCTTGGACATACAAACTCCTAATTGCTTACTCCTGATCATGTTTCAATTACCATTCGTATGCTTGATCAGTGAGAAAGTGTTTCTGAGTGAATTATTTCTACTAAGTTAAACTAAAACTATGAAGATTTCTTTGGAAATAATGTTCTTGTGAAAGCTGCTGCTGTGTTTTATTATTTTTGAGACAGGGTCTCTATTTCCAGGCTGGGGTACAGTGGTGCATTCATACTCAGTGCAGCCTCAAACTCCTGGGCTCAAGTGATCCTCCTGCTTCAGCTTCCTGAATAGCTGAGACTATGGGCATGTGCCACCACAGTGGTTAATCTTTTTATTTGTAGAGATGGGTTTCTGCTATGCTGCCTAGGCTGGTCCTGAACTTGTAGGTTCAAGCAATCCTCCCGCCTTGGCCTTCCAAATTGTTGGGATTACAGGTGTCAGCCACTGCATGTGGCCTGCTATTTTCATTTGTATTTTCAACTGTAAATATAAGTATAATGCTTAAAATGGCTTGTTTCAAATTCTTTTTAAAAGACCATTTCAAAATAACAAATGGTGTATACATAAACAGTGAGGACAATAGTTTGTACAAATTTTAGCAAATATTAAATTCACAATACTAGGAAGAACATGAGCAATAACTTTCTATGATTTAAAGAGGGGATAATAATGCATGAATTTATTTAATAGCCCAAAGCAGCAACAATTCACATAGAATTTCCAGTGGTAAGTGGAGAGTTCTAGAGATTATCCATAGCTTCCAACATACTGTCAAAAGAGCATATATTTATCCCCTTCTCAAATTTTAAAAACCACTGTACTAATGCAAAATTTTCAGTTAACTTCACTAACTCAACCAATTTAAAAGGCACTGCTCTAAATAATAGCACAAAAGAAATTGTAGTACAAACTAACAAGAAATTATGTCTATAAAAATGAGAAGGCATTCTCATTCTCAAATGCAGGAGTATTCAGTTATGAGAAGACAAGAATTTTGATTAACTAATAGAGAAATGCAAGGACATGGTTAGGGGAAGTACAGCTGAGTGAAGATTTGAAGCTGAAGTTCAATATGACTTTTATGAACAAACTATGTTGTTACACTGAGGGGTCCTTAATGTTAGTGTCCCCTATCAACTTGATGATGACAAAATAATTAGATTTTAATGGTTAAGCTGAATTAATAGATCTACCAGCTGAGAAAAGCACACTATTGTACAAATCTCTAAGATGCTATAATATCTCAAAGTTGGGTTTCATAATGAACAAGCTCCAAATTTTGTCAAATTACTGTCTATAAAAGTCCATGGGAACTGTTCCTGACACTCTTAGTTATACCTTAGATATGCAATACCATTTTAATGTATTAATAGTTGGGATCAATCTTGGAGTAGTAATTAATCCCAACTACATCAAAATGGTATAGCATATCTAAGGTATAACTAAGAAGCTGATGTTTCTAGTGGTTCCAACTTGAAAAGATCCAAAAAAAATCTTGAAGAGTTAACAGGTCTTGCAGGAAAAGAACATATTCCAAATAGTTTGAAGAAGCCCTGCTGGGACATGTGTGAATACTGACTCTGGCTCCCTCAAGACCATTCTACTTCAGAGAAATCAAAGTAACTACCTATCATTAAAATAATTAACAATTCACAATGAATTACATAGGTTACAAAGGTTTTAAAGAATTTTTTAATATAATTTAAAGTTACTTAGTTTTAGAAAAGACTTTTTGCTATTACATTAAATATTACCTAAGCAATAGCATGGCATAAGATGTTTCAGAAAAAATATTAAGAAAAATACTTTTGCACAATTTCTCTAGAATTGGCTTTGGAATATATGGTAATATGTTCTAAAATTTTATATTAATAATTTCCTATCCTTCACAAAATAAATTATAATCCCCATTCATCCTCATGTGTCCCTCCCCAGTGTGCCTTTACAATTTGGAAATGCTTTCCTGAAATGTCCTAACCTTTATTTTATGTTCAATATGATTAACTTATAAAAGGCAATCTTCTGAAATCATTTCAAAGACCATAATGCCAAAAAGTTATGATGAATTTTCCTTTTTGATTCTCAAAATGAAACTTACCACAAATAAAAATGTATGAAAACAAAAGCTTCTGTGAACACAGAGACAGTCAACACAATTCAAAGACTGAAAACTATTTTTAATTAAAGCAATGTCTGTAAGGTAAAAAACTAACTTCCATCTCATCTATTTCATTTGCCTTAGGACCTCCTAAACTAATTATTAGAGGTTAGGTTAAGCCCCATAGGCTAAAACCAACTCAGTCAGCTAATGACAGTGATAACTATTTTAAGCCACCCAGAAAAACGAAGGATAGTGCTCTGATATTTTTTTTTCACCGGAATATCTGGGAGGCATCTAAGCCTGATTCCAACCTCTATAGTTTAAAGGGAAGACAATCTTTTTATCATAAACAGGCAGCAATAATACATGTAATAGAACAAAATATTTCATGTGTCCCATCTAAAACATATACATTAATTTGCAACATTTGTGTTAATATAAAAATACTTTAATTGTACTAATCTTATAACTAACCCATTTTTAACGTCACCATAATTATGCCATGATCATATAATCACCAAGATAATATAAGCAAGCTTTTATTATCCAAATATATAGCACTCTTTGCACAAAGAACCAAAATCAAACATAATAAAACTTACCTTCATTGGGAGATGTTTTCAACTTGGTACAAATTCCATAGACATCTCCATAGCTTTCCTGTATTTTTCGTAATGCATCTGTGGACCTGAGCTCCATAAGAGCCCGCAGCTCTGCGAGCGTAATTCCAAAGTCTCCATCATGATTAGCTTCCTTCAAAGAGTTTTTCACACCACTGTAAGCAACCGAGTTGTTTGCCATGTCACCCATTACAAGTATAATATATCAGAAGGAAAATGTTTCCCAAAAGAATTTTTCACTTGATGTATTTCCAAGATGAAAATCTTTTAAATATGAAAATCTTTCATAAACCAAATACTCATTGTATGATTTTGTAAAGCAGCATCAGCAGCAGCATTTCCCAGTGAAGTATCTTGACCTTTGGCCCATGGCTAGTTTCTCCATATCAATCATGAGATGTACACACCTGTAAGAAGAAAACATTTAAAAGTTAATAAAATCTATCTTAGAGTATTATGCACATAAGCATATTTTCTAAATGTCGTCAGGTAACTAAAGTACATTATTTAGTAATAAAAATATTGTTGAACTGCAGTCTTGTGCTTTTAAAGCATTTTGCATGATAAAAGATCAAAGTACAACTTTTAAATAAAATTGTATATCAAAAGACGTTAGATTGCATCATTATTAAATGAAATTGCACTTCACATGACTGAATTTTATGATCCACTCAGCATTACTGTTATTGTTCCAAGCACTATGCTAGTTGTTTTAATTTCATTCTCTCACTTAATCATCACAATTTAATCCCATAAGGTGTTATTCCTTCTTCTACTGAGAAGGGCAGGCTTCAAGAAACTGAGTTTCTGCCCAGCTAACAAATGGCTGAAATGTCTGAGGTGGACTGTCTCCAAGCCTGTTTCTTTTAATATTATACTTGGATCTCTCTCTCTCCAAGTCTTTCATAAGAAATATACCCTGAAAGGACAAAAAGTATAACAGATACTTTAATATTATTTCCTGCAATTCTCATTGGCAACTCTGTGATTCTACCATTTTTTGACTGTCAAAAACTATATATGATCTGTCACATGTCACTACCCCAGGTCTTCCTGTGACTCCCTATCTAAAGAAATTCTCTGCTCTTTTATTTTCCTTGCCCACTGTTATTATTACCTGAATTTATCTTGTTCATTTGTTTATATGCTATTTTTTTTCTCCCCATCTACAGTATTAGTTCTGAGGGCAAAGTCTGTCCATTACTACATCTTGAGTACCAGGCACACAGAAGACACTCAGTGAAAGTCTGAGGAATTAATACACGCATTACTTTTATTTCTTCACCGTACTTTCAAGTCCTCCTATTATTCTAATCTGCCTAAAGATAAGCTCTCTTCTCCATACAATCACCTCAACGTTAACAGGCCCAACAACGGACTCATCTCACTCACTAATTAAAAGCTCTGCCACCACCATTATCCTTATCGCCTTGGCTAGGAATCGTAAATCATCTTTGATTCCATCCTCTACAGCTTCAGTCAGTTACTAAGTTAATTCTACCCTTGAGAAGTCTCTTCTGTATATAACCCCTTTTCTTCCTGATCTTGTTCAAGTCCCTCTATGCAAATTATAATCACTACCCCCTGGTTCTTCTTCTTTCCAATATCTCAAACATAACAATACCTTGAGCGTTTTACTGCTACATTTAGTTTTTAAAAAGGCATCATGTCATTAAATCTAAACCTCCAAGATGAAAATGTAGTCCCACTGCTCATGACTATATGGCTACATTTTACAGATTCAGCTTCTTCCCACCTCAAGCAATCTACCTACACTCCAAAATATTTTTAGAATGTTGATTATTAGAAAAGATACTGGCAAATGCAATAAATCTTCAGCTACAAAACTGTTATAAAGATGTCTGTAAATCATGGTATATAGTCCTCATACTTTAGCATACATCAGAATCACCTGGAGAAATGGTTAGATTGCTGGGCCCCACCTCCAGCACCTTTAGATTGAGGTAAATTAAGGCGGAGCTCAACAATTTGCATTTCTAATAATTTTTTGGGTGATGCTGATGCTGTACTGTCTAGGGAGCACAATTGTGAGAACTACTGAACTAGAGAATAGGCTAAAAACTTAGAATTCATACCAGTGAGTTGAGGATGGCTAGGTGAGAAAAGTTTGTTTGCCTTAGGTTAAATCTGCAAAGATGTGATAGTTATGGATTCTGCAAGACATTTTCTTCCATTGCCTGCTTCCTCCCACTACACAAATCCTTATGCTTGTCTATTTATTACCAATTTTACTCATCTCCTAGGCAAAGTGGGTTCCCTCCTACGCACACATCAATTATTATAATAACCCAGCTTCAAAACCTGGAGAGGGTGGTTATTTGATAATCTCCTTAGGTTTCCATATACAAAGTTTGTTGGCCTGAACATCACACTAACCTTAAAATAGATTATTATTTAACAGATAAAATAATTAAGTCTGTGTGCTGAGGGCATGTTTGCTCATCTGTCCTCTGGTTTCCACAAAGAGGAATTTTTCTCAACAACTCCTGGCCTGCTACTCCATCAATCACCATGGGTGTAAAATGACATGCCTGACAGATTTTCCTAGAGAAACCAGACATATGTAGCTTCTTCACCTCTGCCTTCTTTGAAGAACCAGATAACTGTAGGACTCATGTATTCTAGTTTGAATTTTTAGGGGCAGATCCCAAGGTTTAAAAGCCTACTGGAGTAGAGGTAAATAATTGCTTAGTTCTGGGTTCAATACTAGAGCCTCGTTGTTGTCACACAAAAACCAAGTTATCCAGCCTAGCTTTTATCAGTAATAAAACTGATTTTTTTTCCTATGCGCCAATCTGTCTTTTCTCTTCACAGAATTCAAATAGGAGAGAAGAATGTTATTCATTGAATGCCTTTAAATTTCTCAACAATAGGGATACATAATACAGCTAGTACTGGAACCTATATCCACTATACAGCCTCTACTTTATGTCTTCACATTTAATAGGTCAGAATGGAAGTTTTTGTAGGTCACAAAATAGTGAAATAACAGCAAATGTACCAATTTACACAATAAATCAGAACCGAAGAAGCACTGTTGTATTTGCTAATTGCCACCTCAGCATCCCTTTCCCTGTCTTTCAGCAACAGCCTCACTTTTCATTTAGGAATCTGTGCTTCCCCAGCTCTCAACAGAGAGGAAGCAGAGTTCCACCCCCATTCCCAGACATCCCTACTGACCATGCTGATCATCAGTTCTGGAATATGCAAGTGACCCAACAAGAGCCAATGGGTGGTAACAAGACTTCTGCTGTGACTCTGGGCAGACACTTGTTTCTTCTAACTGAACTTAAATCTGATATACACATGAAAAGCTACTGTCGTCATATGGTACCACCAGGGGAAAGCCTTTGAAAATGGATCCAACAGAGAATATGTGGAGTAGAGAGGGAGAGACCGAGTGAGCATGTTCCTGTCAACCCTGAACATTATTTGAGCTCCTGGATCAATCAATGACTAAAGTTTGTTCTATCACTGATCTTTTCCGTAATCTGTCAATAAATGCCCTTCAGGGGTTCAGTTTTCTATTACTTTGCAAGCCACAGAGCTTTGATAAGCACATGATTATTAATCATGCTCAATTCCCTCACTGTAAAGAAAAGAAAGTCCAGACAAAAGCACCAAATGCAAATGAGCCACTTTCCCAAAGTGGACCTATTTGAATTACCAATTACCCACAAATTATACAGCAGGTTGTTGTCTATTTTTAGATTATTTATAGCTCCTTCTACAATAATTTTCTTCTTTACCTACTCTTCCATTCATCTAACTGGCTGATTGACAAACATACTAAGGACAATAAAAAAGTTTTGTTTTTCACTTGTTAGCTACAGCATGACAATCAAGTGAGATACACACTATTTGGGATTGATATACAACAGAAAGCAGAACATCTATTCTGCTTCTCTTTGTTCTCTAAAAGAATTTTATCTTTTATTTGAAAAGTCTAAGAAAAAATGTTGTTAAGTGGAAGCTGAGGCCCAAGAGGAGAGAAATTTTAAAGAAAGCACATGTAGGTCCCTTGGCTTACATACAGAATTTATCCTAGAAAAAAATGCTGTTTCTGAAAAACCACTGTTGGTAGTCTTTGAGGTATTACCAACACACACACACACACACGCACACACACACACACAGAGCTGAAGACTGGAGTTGGACAAAAATGGTTACAGGTTTCAAAAAGAACAATAAGGCAGATTCTTACTGACCTATAATCTTTACTGTGAATGGGTAGGGCCTTCGAAAAAGACAAAAGGATGATTATGATATCCTAGCAGTGGAACTCATAAAGAGACAGGTTGGTTAATAATACAATTTCAATTCCTTCTTTCATAAAGTCACTTTACAGATCAAGAAAAAGTTATATGAAAGTTATCCAGATGCAACAACAAAAAAAATCAATTATTAGAAAAACTAAATATAAGAAAATAGCAAAGTAAATTAATGGGTAAGATACGGAGTACTAAAAATTATTATCAATGTTGTATATAGCATGAGATTTTTGCAGGCAAGACAGAAGTACACTCTAATACAACTAAATATATTAGATACAAGAGGACCAATCCAGAAAGAGGTTTATTTAATGCATTGTTGGGTTTCTAATTCCTGAATGATTCTAAATTTTTGTTAGGAATTTGAAGACCTGGAAGTTGTATTTATCCAATCTATAAGCAACTCAAAGCTAGGTAAAAAACAGCAAATACATTACATGACAGAATCAGGATCTGGACAAATGAGAAGGAGAGGCTAAAGTTAACTGGTATAAAAGAATGACCTCTTAACGTTTAATTCCCAAAACATAATTACAAATATGGCATATAAGAAATGCAATAGCATATATGCAAAGACAAAGGTTCAGTTTACTCAAAGCTAAAAATGCATTAATTTGGTGTTAATTATAATGACTGATGTAAGTGCTTTCCTTACTCAAAGTGTTGTATGTTCTTAGGCAGCAAGGACAGGAGTCTAATATCTAACAAAAGGAGGTAACAGACTTATTTTACTTTGCCTTGGGCAAACACACCTATTATGTTACAGGCTCATGTGTAAAATAAAGATACAATAACACTACACATCTCATTAAATGTGTAAATACATGTAAAACACTTTGAACTTACCACGACACACAGTAAATGGCAAATACATTTTGGTTATTTTTATTGTTCTTTAAGAATATTTGCAGATACAATCCGCAGAGAATAGCCTTCTCCCACCCCAGATGAGGAAGACCTCAAACCATTTCAGATGTAGAAGGTTTAATGAAATAAGATTTTTAAACCTAAAGGAAAAGATAATCAGTATATTATTTGATATAATAATTTAAAAGTTAACTCAAATTTTGTTTTACTAGTTTTATTACATGACTCAGTAAAATTTTTAAATGTAA